AGCCCCTTCCCATTTCAGTTGGCCCAACTATTAAAATCTTAATTTTTTAAGCACCATGATATAATAATAAATAATACATGATATTTTAGATCATAATGTCATAAAAGGGTATATTTTTATTAATATCAAATAGAAAAACTCCCACTTTATTATTTCCTTTTAGAATTTTTAACGAAAAATCAAAAATATTTCGAAACGAAGTTTTTATTAGTTTTTAATAAAACCCATTTGACTTGTATTACAAAATAAACATATTATATCGACGGTGGCTTTGGAAATTTTAAGCCAAGACAAACTACTATGGAACTGTCAGAATGTATTTTTTACATTTTATGGTTAGTTGTTATCGTGAAAATGGGTAGAGGAAAGATTATCGATGAGAAAATTTGTTCAATTATTATTAAATTTGCCAATTCTGGAAAATCAAATTCGGAAATTGCAAATTTGTTATATTTGTCGAGATATAGTATAAGAAACATAGTTAAAAGATACAAAACTACCGGTTCAGTCACTACAAAGCCTAGATATGTGAGAAAAAGCAACGTTACAGATAGAAGAGCGCTACGAAGAATTATTGTAAAGAATCGACGTTCCAATTATTTAGACCTAAGTGCTCTATGAAGTGATGCTATTGGAAGGCGCATTTCGAGATCCACATGTCATCGGGGTAGCTATTCTTGAATTCGAGGGACTAGAAAACCGGTTTTTCCTCTCTATCGGCAACGCACAAAATTTGTATTTTTGTCTCATTCTTCCCTTAAATTTTCTACTCCCTAAGATTCAAGAATAGATACCCGGGAGGCCCACAAACTGGGATTTGGTACTTATAAGGTAACATTTTTGACGATAAAAATAATAAAGTTCATACTGGATAAATATTTTTTTTCTGTAAAATTGTTTACAACTGACAATTTTGTTTTAGGCCAAAGAAAAGCCACTTTTAACTCCACGGCAAAAGAAAAATAGATTAAGATGGGCTAAAGAACATAGATCGTGGACATCTCAACAATGGCGTGCAGTAGAGTGGAGCGATGAGTCCCGATTTGAAGTGTGTGTTGGGGACAGTAGAAGTAGAGTAATTCGCAAAAAACATGAAGCCTTCCATCCGGACTGTGAAAAAAGTCAAATTTCCTGCGTCAGTCATGGTGTGGGGCAGCATGTCATCCAAAGGGGTAGGAAAACTCCATTTTATCCAAGGAATTGTAAATACGGAAAAGTATCTAGACATTTTAGAAGAATCGCTGTTGCCGGTCATGGAGAAATATTTGACATCAGGGAAAGATTTTGTATTCCAACAGGATGGCGAAGCATGCCACACTTCAAAAAAAGCACTAAAATGGATGGAAGATTACAACGTACCACTTTTGGAATGGGTTTCCAGTAGCCCCGATTTGTCTCCGATCGAAACATTGTGGCATGCAATGAAAAAAGTGTTGCGGATACATCCTTCCAGAACAATCCCTGAATTAAAGGAAAGGCTTCAGGAGATATGGAATTCGTTTACACCACAATTTTGTGAAGACTTTGTTAATACTATGCCACAAAGAATTTCGGCAGTTATAAAAAATAAAGGCGATGTTACCCAGTGGTAAACATTAAAACTGTTTTTTCTTGAATGTTCTGTTCTTGTTAATATTTTTCTGTTTGTTCTCATTTTGTATAAATTTATCGGTTTTTGCGTATATATTTTGGTAAATAGAGTTTAATTATGTAGGTAAATAAATTTTTTTAAAAAAAGTTCATGTTGTACTTTTATTTTGTCACAAAGGGACAAATTTCTAAAAAATTATAAGGTGGGCCAACTGAATTGGGAAGGGGCTCGTACATATTAAATGAATGCCTTAGGACAAGGATATTGTTGATACTATGTTTATTATGCTTTATATTATTTTTATTGATTTTAGATATTAAGTTGCTATTAATAAAAATTTATTTTATGAAATATGCCTATTTTTTTATTAATAATTAGTCTACATCCTAAAATAGGAGTAAAAGTTTACATAAACATAGGTCCGAAAACGTTTTGTTTCCGAGATACAGGGTTTTAAAAGTAAAGTCCTGATGATACATTTTTGTAAATATTTTATAAACTTTTAAAGATAACTAAGTGAAATTTGATACAAATGCTAAACTTTTTACGCTCTATTTAATGGACTAAATGCCAGCTTTTGATCATCTTCATAGGTGGATAAATTAAGGGAGGGGCTTAGGGTTAGATTATCCTAAGTTTTTTTGTTGTTTTTAAAATTTTTAACTCCAAAATTTGGAAAACCAATATTTTCTTTATTTTTGTTGTATCTCGCTAGGACGCACCATTTTCAAGAGAAAATCATTTAAAAATCTCATGATAAGGTGATGTTATCTTATTCGAAAATGTAAACAATAATTAGTAAGCCTTTGGAATCAGAAATTTTTTTTGAACTTTGGAAAACCGGTGACTAAAGAAATTTTAGAAAATATTTACAAAAATGTGCCATCAGGACTTCACTTGTAACACCCTGTATCTCGAAAACGAAACGTTTTCGGAACTATGTTTATATGAACCTTTACTACTATTTTAGGAAGTAGATTACGCTGTTAAAATATGACCGTCTAATTTCGGTACACCCGGTATATAGTATTTCCATTAATAAATATTATTTAATACAATAACAAGTCAACAATACACGCTAGACTTGTTATTCTTCTATACAACTAATTTTCTGCTATGGTTAATACAAAATTTTAACTAACAAATTAATTTCTCAAATTATCGACATAAATTTATTGATTTAGAAATACAGTAATTATACCGCCATTTGTCATTTTAGTTCCTGCTCCAAACACAAGGTGCTAATTGGTATAAAAGTCTAACATTGACGTGGGGTCTCTAGAAGGTAGATGCTTTGTGATCTGGGGTGAGATTTTTAAAGGCTAATTTACCTTATGTAAAGTGGGTTTATTTTTGCTAATGAATATTACCTATTTTTAAGTAGTTTTATAATTTTGGTATTTTACCCTACCAATTAAGCTTAACTTTCGCATTAGCGCTATCGAAATTTAAGTTTTAGTTAATTTTCTGAGTAAATTAAATTTCTGTTAATTTATTTAGTTTTAATAGTGATTTTTTCACATAGATGGATGTAATTATGACAGACTAAAAGGTCTAGTACTTAGTCTTGGGTATATTTTTGGGGAATAATAGCATTCCTTCTTTATCAGTAATATTTTGGTAATTTACGTAACCTCAGGGTTGGTAAAAGACGTCTTTTAACCACCATTTTTTGTGTCGCCAATATAAGTAGCTCACACCCACCTATGTTTCACTTAAACACCGGAGCTTAAAATTCTCCATCCGGTTAAAACAAGATGGATTTCATTTGAAAGCCTCGTGGTACAGATTTTAGAGCAATATAATGCATTGACTCTTTTATTTGTAGATGCGGTGTTCAATGACCATAGTCAAAGTGCTGATGAAAATATCCTTTCTAAACTACAGGACCCGTTAGCAAAAAAAAATGTTCTTTTGTTTTTGCAGTTTTCACTTCCGTTTTTCAATAAAATTAATAGGGAGATGCAAAGTGAGAAACCAAAAATACACGAACTGCATTCGAATATAACGGCTACATACAAAACAATTATTGAATGCTTCATAAAGAGGGACATTATTCTGAAAACACCATTACATGAGATTAATTATAAAGACTTTAGCAATTATTTACCACTTTCTAAAATATATTTGGAGGCCCAAATTGCTTCTAATAGTAAATTAAATAAAAATCAGACATGCATTTTTAAAACTCGATATTTAGACTTTTTCATAGAGGCCGAGCAGATAAATCAAAGATTTGACTTTAATAATGTAGTTTTAAGAACATTATTTTTAATAAAACCTCAAACTGTTATGTCAAGGGAATATTTTAGTGTGTCATGCCTCTAGCAAAAATTTTTCCAAATTTAATAAAGGGAAATATGCTGCAAGAGTTAGACAATGAATATAGATTATTACGAAATACGGAAATTGAATGGGAAGAAAGACGGTAATAATATTGAAGGATTTTGGAATAAAGTAGAACAAATTAGTTTCGCCGATAATAAAAAAAATATTTCTTACATTAACCATTTTTGTATTTGATGTCTTAAGTCTTCCACATTCTTCAGCAAATGTGGAAAGAGTGTTTTTAAATGCCAATCTTCTTAAAACTCAACAGAGAAACAAGCTTGTAACAGCAAGTATTTCAGGTAATTTACACACAAAAAATTTTATTACTTCACAATGAAAACACTGTTTCTCGATTGAGTTCTATAAAAATATATTAGCTCTATATAATCAGCAAATGTACGAAAAGTCAAGAGTAGGATTTATCTATATGTTTATGAAAACTATCAATTTAAAAATTAAATGGTTTATTTTTTTATTCTACTGTTATTTTTCTTAATCTACTGTTTTTTTTTTCGGAAATCTACTGCTTAACTGTGTAACCAACCTGGCAACACTGCCTTTCATTCTTTATGTGTTCACTATCTTTCAATAATTAATTTTTATGTATTAAAAACCTTCGTTTAAAATTTAAATATTTTGTTTTTTGCGCTCAGAACCTTTAGTTCTTATTGTTTGTTAAATTATTTATAATAAACACTAGATTGAATTAATCTGTTTTAATTTGCCTGATATTAATTTAAATATGAACTTATCATACCATATCCTGACAGTTGTCACAGTCTAGTTTTGTTTCCTATTTTATTTTTCTCTGAAAAAATATATTTTTTAATTCACCCCTGAGTATAATCAATTTTGCCATTTTCCTTTGCGGAAAATTGTAAAATTTTGGTCAAATAAATCTTAAGCTTAATCACTATAAACAACCAAACCAGACAATTCCAAATAATTTTTTTATTTTCACTCAACGAAAGTGCGGCAACTTCAGGATTCGCTGGTGAAAATTCAAGACTAAGTAAAGAACACTGTTCAATATTTTAATAAAAGTTCGAGTTCCTTAGCTAAATTTAAAAAAATGCAGTCGCAAATGGGTTTGCCCGACTTAGAATTGAAGCAGGATGTACTAACACATTGGAATTCCACGTATATCATGCTGTTAAGAATAATTTCCATTAAAAAAGCGGTTGTGGGACTTTTGGCCGTAGATGAATCCCAACTGAGTACTTTGTCACCTTCCAACTGTGAAATTCCAGAAAAATCAGTAGATGTACTAGAACTGTTTTTGTGATATCACAGCAGAAATCAAAGCGGAAAATGTAGTGACAATATCGAAAATTATCGTGATGGTAAAATCTGTGAATCGTCACATTTTCAATATTTATCAGGCAATCCCAGAAGTGCTCATGCTTACAAACAGATTAAAGCATCAAATTAAAGAAAAATTTAAGGATATTGAATCCCACGAATTATCATGTCAAGCAATATTTCTAGAGCCACGGTTAAAAAAACATAGTTTTTCTTTAGAAAATACATACGAACATACTTTGAAAAGTATTAAGGCTAAGATTGCGAATTTTCAGTTGAATACAAATAAAGATATAAGCCAACCTTGTCCAGAATCGCCAACTAGCACTTTCAATCCCCAGAAAAAAAAACGAAATCTGGGATATTTTGACGTCTCAATCAGGAACATTTTAACACTAATAAATCCTAAAGCTGCTAGTATAATCGAAGAAGATAAATACATTAATGAATAGCTTATAAGAAGAAATGAAGATCCATTATATTGGTGGAAAGAAATAAAACAAATATGAGTATTTTTTTTAACAAATATACTCATGCCAAGAAGAAGATTATGCATTCTCGCAACATCAGTTCCGTGCGAACGTATTTTCTATAAAGCTGGACAAGTGACTGGTGACAAAAGAAGTCAAATGAAACCTGAAAAAGCCATGTTTTATTTTTAAATCATAATCTTTAAATAGTTTTCCCCATTTTGTTAAATTTTTATGTATTTATTTTGATTTGGTGATCAGTTTAGAGTTAATTATTATTTTGTTTAATAAAGAAATAGTATAATGTTATATCCAAAATGCAACTGCAATTGTCTGTGGATTCTCAACTTTAATGTCTTGCCTTAAATACCCTAAATTAAGATGTACTGGGCCAAATTGACTAGAGTTAAAACACTATCGCTAGAACAATGACCTTGACCAGCGATAAATACTTTCAGACAAGAAATCATTCAAAAGTGGTCATTGATGCTAATGTGCCTGAAACACTTAGGAAAGCAAATACACTTTAAAATTCGTCCTTTTCCATAATCCAAGCCAAATAGCAAATGGTAAACGACATCCGAAACATTAAGGAACCAATAAAATGCATGCCCAGCTACAATAACTTTATTGGAAGATAAACTTAAAATTATATTTAATTCAACACAAGTAGGACATACTTGTGAAATTGGACGAACTTGTTTATCTGCTAATGATAAAGATCAAATTGCAAGTAATTGTTATTTATAATAGAAACATATTTCTGCTCAGACCAATTCATTATTACATAAGCTAATTTTTGATGATAATTATTCAAAGTATACCCATGTCTTCTACCTATAAATATAAAATAAGAGCTGATGGTATTTCATTGTCCATTTTATTTTAAAATTAATCAAGCCTTGTCTTGTCCTGTTAGTGTAGGAGTGGTCATGGTTCAGTTAAATAATAGTAATAATATATTGATGTTTTTTAGGTAAATTAGCTGAAGGAGTCATTACTCAAAGAGTATTGGGAGATGTTAGAGAAAGTGCTCCAGCAGATGCAGTATTAGAGAAAAAAGATCTCCATAAAATCAAGAGATATTTTCAGATCAGCTATACTACAAAATTACATGAAAATAATGCCATTAGTGTAAAACTATGGGCACAGTTGATGAGGGAAAAATATATAAAAAATATTCTAGTGCTTTTGTTTAACAAGGACAAGAAGATTCGTGATGATGGTGGGTGAGGTTTTCCGGGTTTTCCTCACCTGTAAGTCAAATGGCACCATCAATCATCCTTAAGTCGCCCCGGAGCGCCACGGCAAATAATAATAATAGCCGTCCCTTCCCCTACACAAGTCGTTCAGTCGACTTCAGGGGTTGAAATTCACTCGTAAGGGGGTGAATTAGGGAGAGTATTATTATTATATTATTATTATTATTATTATTATATTATTTAAAAAAATTACTTTTAGTTATTATAATGAGTGAATTTTAAGAAAATGAACTCGGAAAGTAAGGAAGAAATAACATTTGTGTAAAAGATATACATGGCCTAAATAATAACGAGTTTCAGTTATACACTTTTATAGTAGTTGATGGGTTTGGAAAAGGAGTGTCAGTCGTATTTTGTTTTTCAAACAGATCTGACACTATACTTTATGAATTAAATTTTAGTTCTATAAAAAACAAAATTGGAATTAGAACTAGTAAAGTTTCCATGTCAGATGATGAACCTGCATTCTATAATGCATGACAGACATCTATGGGCCCAGTTCAGTACCAACGTCTTTGTACATGACACGTGAGAAGAAATTGGTTTAAAAATTTAAACAAGATAACAGGTAGTCATGATAAAATAAATCTTGTTTTACATACTGAAATAAATGAGGACCAATTTTATTCTGAACTAAGTATATTTTTAAATGATTTAGAAAATTATTCAGATACCAAAGCTTTTGGCGAATACTTCTTTAAAAGCTTCATGATTTTCTACATAAATATCTCAAATTTTTCCACTCACTAAAGAACAAAAAGAATTAAAAAACAAAAAAAAACGAAAATAAATCAAACTCAAATGTGATCAAGACGTAAAATAAAATAAATAAAACTAAAAGCCAATATCACATAATTACGAGCGACCGTTTCCCTTCAGAAAACCACTACTCCTTTGGCTAATACCGCAACAGGTATTGAATTATATCCGAAGGAAAGACAGCAGATATAGAAATTAAATTTCAACACTCTACCTTTGATTTTGCTCACTAAGGAGAACATCATTGTTGAACGTCCTTATTAGGACTCTTCAGCAAGAAATAGCTAGGTTCCCAATTTTAAAACTAAAATCCAATATCACATAATTACGAGCGACCCTTTTAGTTTTATTTATTTTACGTCTTGATCACATTTGAGTTTGATTTACTTTCGTTTTTATAAATTGCCAGCCTGCTTTTTTGGTTCCACCTAGTTTTCTTACTGGGTACTACAACGCCCTTTGATTTTGCTTACTAGAAACATATGGCGACACCATTTCACTACCGTCATTTGGGGTGAGATTGATCTGCAAGTTGCACTTTCATAAATTTAAATCTAGCGCGCACACCGCCGGTTAGTTTCGTCTTTCGCCACCAGGTTTGTGTACCAAAAACATGGTCGAATAACACGTGTGCGTGTCGACTGGCTAATCCGCTGTGTTGTGTGAAAAAAATTCGATTTAAAATGTGTAGCTGTTTTTACTGACATTCATAACTTCCAGAACGTTCATAGGTAAGTCGAATTATGATTTAGTTGTGAATAAATTCACGGTATGGTACTATTTGTAGGTGTTTTTAGATGCCACATTCTATCATTCAGTGCTTTCGTATGCGAGATTATTATTAAAGTTACTTGATGGGGTCACATTGATTGAAAATGCGGAATGAGATTGATCAATCTCGCCCCGCATGTGCGGAAATTTTTCGCAGTAAATTTTAACACCTTTAGAGCATATTTTACAAACACACTGATAGTGTTATTTTCCAGTAAGATGCCTGGTCATTACGCAGTGCTTCATCTGAGTTCAAAATTCCATTTGGCACTCTCAGAAACAAATTTTGTGGTTTGCGCACTAAAACGGAAGAAAAAGCTTTAATCAAGTCTGCATCTTTGTGTGGGGAATGGGGCTTCCCGTTAAGTTTTTTGGATAAACGGAACCTATTTAGATAGTAAAGGCCGCAATATAGCGAGATTCAAGGACAATATGTCAGGCAAAGACTGGGTCTCTAACTTATTGGAAAGGCACAAAAATGAAATTAGTTAAAAACTGGCGACAAATATAAAAAAAATGTGCAAATATTCCGCGGGAAACTGTAGTTCAATATTTTGAAAATCTGCGCGAAACACTGAAAGACGTTCCCGCTTGTAACGTGTTTAACTATGATGAGACAAATTTACAGGATGACCCCGGCAAAAAGAAGATGCTTTTTTGCCGGGGCACAAAGTATCCAGAACGAGTGTGTAATTTCACGAAGACTGCTATAACTGTCATGATGTGCGATTTCGCATCTGAGGTGTTATTACCCCCATACGTCATTTATAAGGCCGAGAAGCTGTGGCAACAATGGGTGGAACTGGGACCAAAAGGAGAACTCTGTTAAAAGGAGAACTCTGTTGCAAGGAGAATTGCTGCAGTTCCGGATCGCGTTATAACAGGACACATCATGGATGGATGGATGCACAGACATTTACAGAATGGTTTGAGTCATCGTTTTTGCCTCATGCAAAAAGGTTACCAGGACGTAAGGTTCTAATGGGAGACAATCTTTCGTCGCATTTTACTGACACCGTTATAACGCAATGCCAAGTAAACGACATTGCTTTCGTCTGTTTACCCAAGAATTCTACCCACCTAACGCAGCCTTTAGACGTAGGATTTTTCCGACCATGTATGGAACGACCTCAGCGACGAAGTTGTTGGTGCCATAACAGTTAATGTCTTTAAAAATAAGTTAGACGAGTGTTCTTATCTATTTGTTTCAGTGTGTTTACTTTGTTAGAATTTTTCTATTTTGTTTTTAGGCTATCATAGGACTTGTGTCCTCAGCCTTTATCAATGTATAATAATAAAAAACATAATAAATAAATTTAAGATTGCATGGAGGAACGTACTCACGAATTGGAAGGCGACATATAAACAGCAAACGTCAATAGATAAGAAGGATTTTCCTCAACTGCTTGCTAACACTCTTGTCGAAATGAAAAATAAATCTGATAACGCCATTAAGAATGACCCAATTAGCTCATTTTAGGCAACAGGAATCGTACCTATGGACCCTGAGCGAGTTTTGCGCAAAATACCAGATAATGAAGGTGATACTGCTGCCGATATCAACAATACCCTCTTAAATTATTTACAACAACGATTCTCAGCAGCACTCTCCAAGAAAAAATGTGAACCGCAAGAAGCTTACCGTAGAGCCTGGAAAAAGCGTTACAGCAAACAACGACAGTTCTAGCGATTCAGACGTCCAAAAACCAGTAACTAACGAC